TGACGATGGGCAACACCAAAACCTCCATTAGGATTAAAAAAGGAAACCAGACAAGGCAGCCATATATAGCCATAAAATCGATAATCTGAGCAGACAGGCAGAACCAAGTGGGCCACAGCAGGACCAGCTGCAGCAGACATTACATGAACTGGTATGAGATGTGGGTACCACACCTGAGTGACATGGTTTCCGCTAGTTTTCCTACTCCATACTAGATCAATGATAACAAAAGATTCTTCCCATTGATCTCCACAAAAAAAAAAAATATAATGAGTAACAAACATTCTGTATTTCTATGTAAACAACTCTGTAACGCCATAAACTTACATCATTCACACTGTTGCTGATGACAGCAACAACAATTATGACACAATAGTTAACCACTTGCAAACATACAAATGTTTTACGTCCGAATGGCTAAGCTGACAAACAAACGCCCCTAAATAAGACAAACTCAGTAGCACCAACACGCCACATAATGGCCAATAGAGCCGCCACTCGAAATGCAGCAGCAACAACAAAATGCCGCGGATTATTTCACAGATCGCTTGATCACTGTCTGAGATAAGCCCGGGAAAAGTTGCCAACTGCCACGGCAACAACAATTAAAGCAGAACAAAAAAGTGTATTATAATATAGAAAGAATCAGAAACAAAACGGACAAAGCAAAAACAAATAAGCACTCGGCGGATGCCTCTGAACAAAACGAGATATCGAACAACTTGACATACAACGACAGACAGTGGCAGCAACAGCGGCTGCAGCATACGCGTTGGCCATTGTTGCTGTTGGTTCAGTAACGCAGTGACAGTTGCATACAAAGACACACTGCACGTCGCATGCATTCATGCAATTGGCACACAAACGAGCGTCATTAATATCGCAGATGCACGCGATGCCACGCGTTCGGAATGCAGCTCGGCAGCCGGTGTGAATTGAATTGACTTGAATAACATATGTACATACATACATTGGATAGAAGCATAAAGCGCCAGTGCGACCACCGCATAAACGGATGGGGCAGACCTGTGATGACGTATACATACATCTGTTTAAAACATCAGCGCAGACCGGAGGCGTTTAGATCAACGCGCCGCACTCCATTTGAATGGTAGTATCTTGCGCATGTACTTCATACAGAAGTATGTGTGTATGTATGTACGCTGATCAAAGCATTGTCGTCTCATGTCCACGGCATGTTGATCTCTACGCTTGTGGTCCGTGGCCTGTGATCGTGCCGCTGTTGAGCTGCGCGTCGAACCACATATGTAATCAATGATCAGTGGAAGACTGTTTTACGAATTTCACAGCGCCACTTCCTGGTCTGCAGCAATTATTGCACTATGTACGAGGAAAAACGATTGTCACTCAATGATGGTAATTTTGCGCGATCGCGTACTGAACGCTGATCGGTTTATAGGCGGAGTTGCATCTTAAATGTTGAATTGTAAATGCAATTTGCGGCGCATGCACCACTTGTGCGTGACAAGCTTGCTTTCTACTATTGGCATTTAATTGCTGTCAGTTGCATGTGATCTTCGATAATTGCGCATTTAAAGGGTGTTGGGCGCTGAGAATATTCTGTGCGAACTAATTGAAAATGAGCTGTTCTGTAGATTTTCCTTGTCCTTGCTGAACTTACCTACTTTCCGTAAATAAGGACTATATGAAAACTAAAGATTATGATCTTTTCCCGTTCTTCCTGAAGAAGCGATTATTTCGGCCGACCTTCTCCCCGAATTGTGGTGAATCTCTTGTTATTTGCTTCAATGGTAGGACAACTTTAAGCCAGCATTTATCCGCTCCGAGCTTGTGTTAAAAAGGAACATTTACTAAAAATGTTTAGTTGTGTGCTTGGCCAGATCTTGACCCCATTTTCTCTCTATTAGTTTCTCTCGGTAGCATCATATTCATTCTCCCAAAACAGCAAGCCTCAAATCTGATTGGCCGTGAACAACTTCAGAATTAGCCAGGAAAAATCTTTTATTCAGGTCAGGTTTTTGATAGTCCGTTTGATGCATTTCTGGCGATTTTATCAAGCCTTGAGTGTTCTGTGACTATAAGCTCTGAACGTAAATTAGTGGTATTATACCATTTGATCATCTCAGCTTTTTTGTTTTGAAATTATCAAAGCGAAAACTTTTCATTTCTTCTTTTGCTTTTCTGATGTTCACCGTACACTTCGAAAGGAAAAACTTTCAAAACTTCAAGAGCTCTTGTATTGGCTGTTAGAAGAGCTTTTTGCTTGTTCGAGGGTGGAACGGAGCTAAGAGCAGACCGAGCACTAGCATCTAACTGCAATCCGCATCACAGCGGTGTCCCAGGAGCGCATTATTCTTTCCCACAAAATTTTTAAGTCATATCAGCCTGGCGGGCAGAGAAGTTATCTTCGGCACAACAGTCAACCAGATCTCTAAGAATAGAGCAAGGCTGATTGATTTAGACAAGGCCCAAAATGTGATTTTCTTAACTTACAAATATCATTGCACTAAAATTCATAAATCGACATCACGTAAACAAATCGAGCATATTGTGTTGCTCAGACTATTCCAACCGAGCTCTATGCGGCTAAAGCCTGTTAATGAATATGAGGAATATTCGATGTCGAAAGTTTTTTCATACGCGTTACTACTCGCTCTCTGAGAGTACTCGTCAACAACCCGTTTTAAAGGAACTATAAAGTAGCATATCTAATTTCCTTCGCACCGCCACCGTTGGGAAAATTAGGTAAAGAAATACCTGGTTTCATTTCATACCAGTTGAAAATGAAGAAGATATGTATACCATCCGTCCGTCTGTGTACATGATAACTCAAGTAATAATTGGGATACTCTCATGAAACTTTTTTCATACATTTCTTATGTTACAAGTACGAACGCTATGGCAAATGTGCAATTAAAGCAATATTTGTTGGAGAAGACAGCAGAAAATGGAAAAATATGTAGAGTGGAAAAAAATTGGTGTGCTCACTTTGAATCAAAAAGTAAACCTCAGTTGGATTTCCGATTTCCCATGGTTTAGTATGTAAACAAATTGTATATGAGCACAATCAAACATCTTTATACCATATAACTTTCAATCTTCCTGAAAGTGGCTGCCATAGGTCTAGAGATAGAGAGAGGCACACCAGCCACATAAAACCCCCTACACTTGTAAGTCCAAAAAATCGCAATCTTTGTGAATTTTTTATGGGAAAATTTTTATTAAGCAAATGAATTGAACAAATATTCATATATCGAATCAAGCTATTTTAAGAATTCTCAATGTATTTGCAAAAATATTTCCTGTAGCAGATCTACTAGTAGACCTTCATAAAAAAGGGGTCTGGTAGTGCGAAAGATATCTCTGATCCAAATTACCTTAAATGAGAATAAGTGAATAGAGCTTATGATCGGTGGAATAGTAAAGCTGACTGCTGGAAAAAATTACTTTTCAACTGTTTTTCAGCGCTAAAACCGCACCGTCTGATTTTTTAATAAATTTTGATTGAATCGTTTTAATTTTCATCTAAACATGATGAACCGAATTTCCGTACGCGAATCTCTGCTAAATCAACTACTACGAGCTGATCCCCTATGTCCAAACGCTCTACTGCCAACAAATGGACCGCTTGAAGGCAGCACTCATCCACAGCACACAGAAAAGGCCATATTTGATCAACAGAGGCCGAATTGTATTCCATCAGGACAACGCCAGGCCACACACATCTTTGGTGGCGCGCCAGAAGCTCTAGGAGCTTATAGTCCAGACGTGGCACCAAGTGAGTACCATCTTTTCCTGTCCATGGCGATCGCGCTTAATGGTGAGAAGTTGGCCTCAAGACAGGCCTGAGAAAATTTGTTCTCCGAGTTTTTTGCCAATAGGGACGCAGCCTTCTACGAGAGAAGTAAAATAAAGTTGCCATCTCGTTGGCAACAAGTTAACAAACAAAGCGGCGCATATTTGACTTAAATAAGACAAATATACACAAAGCTAACATATTTTGAAAGATCAATAAAAACCGAACGAACTTAATATAAACATCAGCAGTGTAGCTAATGTGCTCACGTGAACTTAATCTTCTTTTCTTCCTACAACAGAATAGCACCTCTTTGATAACCCTGTAACTTGGGCATTTAAACGCAAACAAATGTCAGTACTTCCTTTTCTAAAACTGACAGTTGGCACTGCCAGATGGCGAACTCCTTAAGAAACCACTGATCAAGCTCGGCACAAAACCAGTTTGAATTGAATTGAAGTCACAGTGAGCAACGATGGTTGATTTAATTAGGTTGAAGCGCCGATAGAAAATCGATGTTGCAACGGGAATAATATCTGCATGCATATAAACATAAATATCTTTCCAAGTGATACATACATACATAAATAGCCTCTTAGTAGTTTCTCTACACCTCATTACAGTTTCCTCGCATGCAAATTCTATTTTGCAAATCAGAATTAATTAAATGCTAAATGAATAAGCATAAAGGTTTGTATCGTTTGTTGTTGTAGCAATTGAAATTTAATTGCTGGTGATGGTGGTGTTGTTGGCGCCGCCAAGGCTTATTCCGAGACCGTCGAGTGAAGTTGGTGTGCTGACTGGCTGGCTAACGATCACTTGTGCGCTCGCTCTTTGTGGGTGTTCAAAGCTGCCAACAACAAGCATTTATATATAATATATTTTATGACTTTTTCTTGGACGTGAATACATAAATAAAAATAAATGTGCATACAAACATACATATGCAAATTATTGACCGTTTATTAGCTGTCATTGGTTATATTAATTTATTAGCTAAGCGCCAAACTAAGTGCCAAGATCGCAATAAAATATTGATTATTTCTAAAGAAAATAGAAATATAAATTATGCGTTGGCCATTACTGCAAATTTCAGCAATTCCTGCACACTTAAGGGTAGCAATTAATGCATTTCCAGCAGAACATATACTGATTACTCAATAAAATTATTTACGAAGAATTTTTCAACGTATTTTTCCTTGTCGAATTTTGTTCTCTTCAGCATTGTCATTGAGCCAAATATAGTCACCGCCTCCAGTAACGGCAGTATTGCCATTGAAGTTCAACGCGATGCCAATATCCCCGTTTTGCTGCCGATCATCCTCGATGTGCATAATATTTCCATTTCGAATGTGCGTGTCATACGCTCGCCCTACAATGCCTCAGCGGCGGCCGAAGAAATCGAATTGGATTTCGATGGAAAGTATGGTGAGAGCAATTCAACATTTGTGGTGGCTATCAATAAGGGTATTGAGGATGAGCATGAGGTTAAATTGATTGTCAGCATGGATTTCGTGAGTCAGATAACGGATACGTTGCAAGGTGTGTACAGGACCAGCTATACGAATTTGGAAAGCAATAAAATTGAGTAAGTAAATATTAAATAAATACAAACTTTTGCGCTAATTTTCATTTTCAACTCATTTCAATAACTCTTATCTGTTTCCTTTTGCGACAGATGGATGGTCAGCACGCAATTTTCACCAGTCGATGCACGTCGCGCCTTCCCCTGTTTTGACCGTCCCGATATGAAGGCCAACTTCACCATCAGTATTATACGCGATAATAAATTGCGCATGGCTTTGTCCAATATGCCGCTGCAACGCAGTTCGTAAGTGTTGTCTGCCACTCATGACTACTTAGTGCGTATTTCGAATGTTTATTATTATTATTATTTTTCTTTTTTATTCTCTTTCCTTAGTGTCCATCGTCCTGGTTTCACACGCGACGATTTCCAAACATCACCGAAAATGCCCATTTACAGTTTTGCATTTGTCGTTTCGAATTTGGTCAAATCTCATTACTCTGACTTGGATGCGAACATGATACCGCGCGTTGAAATTTGGACACGTCCCGAAAATACTGAGATGACCAATTACGCCTATTCAATGTTGCGAAAATTCTTGCCCTACTTCGAGGAGTATTTTGGCGTTAAAAATCGTTTGGCGAAAATTGATATGGTCTCGATACCAGATTTTGGTTTTAGTGCTATGGAAAATTGGGGTTTAATCACATTTAGGTAAGTTCAATTAGTTTTTTTATTTAACTTAAAATTTGTTTATCAATATTTGAGTTGCAACTTTTCCGATTTCTTAAAGTCTAGCTAAACCCTGTAGAAGCGATACAATTGAAAATATGAAAGAAGAGCTCATCATATCGGATTTTTGATATTTCATTTTAGGATTAAATAGTAATTTTCATAGCTGAAAAATTGGTTGGAGGGGGCTATATGATAAAGTCTTCCGATCTCGATGATTTTCATAAGTATGTAGGCAGAATACCAAATCTCACTCTCACAGATGCTCTTTTGACGGATTTCTGACCCAGATGAGAGACTGCTTACATCGGTTGTATAGTCCTTAGATTTCGATGATTTTCTGTGACAATATTTTTCACTTATAATTGTGTAGATTTCAAAACTTGATGCTCTTCGATGCTTTTTTTGACAGAGTTTTGACCAAAACCTTAAATTTAGAAAAGTCGGCGTATGAGCAGTGTTGTCCGATTTCGAGGATTTACAGCTCCGAAGTGTAATTATTAGCTTTGTCCTGAATGACTGATGAATCAACCCAATGCCTAAGCCATTGTTGGTAGAGACATGAAACTTAGAGAGTGTGTTCTGCGTATAAAGTCGTCATTGGATAAGAAAGAATTTTCTTGGATGTGGATCTGGGCCCTATATATTCGAGAAAAAATCTAAATTATCGTTCAATTTTTAATTAATAGGCAGCTCTTTGCCTAAATTGACATGGAAAATACTTTTTCTTTCTGGAAGTGGACTTGTATCTGATCTATTCGAAAAATCGTATTTATCGTTCGATGCACACGCCTTAAAGTAAAGTCGGGAACACTTTTCTTTCCACGAAATTCATTATATGGTTCGATTTACTTGAAATGAGAAAAATAGTAAACTCTTCGTGTAAGACTTTTAATTGAAATTCCATGCAGACGAAGTCGCGGCAAACTCAAGTTTATCAAATGTGTGCAGAAGACCAAATTTCACTCTAATAAATGAAAAATTTATGACGCGAAATCTGTAATCTGAAAAACCTATAATGAAAAATTTATAGCGAACCGATCTGGCTGATTCCGACAGATGATCGTGTACTTGGTTGAAATATCTCTAAAACTTAGGGACCAGTTTTAGTGGAAACAGTCAGACAGACGGACGCGCCTAAATCAAATCAACTCGTTGCTCCGATCCGATCGGTATACCCTTTCTTTGAGGTACTTTGGACCTTGTGGTACATTGGATCCATTGTGCGCCACCATTTGTGCTGTGAAGCTTTCAACGACCCAGTGTGCCTGTGATCGATATGTTGTAGAATTTATAGTTCGATTCACTTGAAGTTTTGTACACAGAGTAGCATTTTGAAATACACCTGGAACCGATTTGTTTGAAAAAAATAGAGAGAGACTCTAAAATTAGTACCTGGGCAGCTCATTTTTTAAATTAACATAAAGATTAACATGCACCGCTCCAGAAAATAGAGTTTAAAGATCGTATTTATGGTTCAATTGGCTTTGAGTTCATTTTGTGCCAATTTTAATGTAAAACAAAAGATTAAGGAATGAATTATATTTTTTCGAATAGATCGCCAGATCTACTTCCCGGATAATAATTTCCTATTGGGTGCATTCGTCATATGCAGTATACACCCGTCGAATTTCAGATCTCTACGATCAGAGGTTTAGGCTGTGGGTTTATTGGTCAGTCATTCAAAACAGAACTTTATATATTATATATACGAGTATATACATTCTTTCTTTCTTAAATTTCGTGCAATAATTATCCAAAATATCAATGATATTCAAACTAAATTTACATATTTAAATATTTTTCACACAGTTAGCCTACGCCGTAAAACATTATTTCCCATATCACTCTCTCGGTCTCTACTAATTGTGATTCCTATCAAATCACAATCAAATTTAAACTATGTATGTGTAGATAAACATATGTTTTATTATCACCTCCTACTCCTGAGGCGGCTCAGCACAAATTTGAGGAGGAGCTCCAGCAGCACCAAAACGCCATGTCGAAGAATTCAATCCTTTCAAGTTCATTCTATTGCTTCCTTTTCGCAACGATTTTTAACCAAAGCCTCATATCTGAAATATATATTACATTGCCTTCCGATTTCGATGATTTTCAGTGACAGAAGAGCCAAAATTCACGCTCTTCTTTTTCTGGTACTAAAATACTTCGGACTAAAGTTAATATACCATTTCATGTTTACAAAAAGTAAAAAAAAGATTTTAAATCATAAATATGAAGCAAAAAAAAAAATTATTAAGAGCAAAATTATGGTCATGAAGCACAATTTTGTGATGAAAATTAGCCAGGCGATACCCAGGGTGATTCAATCAGTAAACCTCTTATTTATGAGTTTTCAATCGATATTTATAGGCAAAAAAAAATTTTCCACGCAGAACTCCTAGGCTCTCTTTACCGGACTGCTTTCTTCACTAACATTTCTTTGATAATGTATCACAATATTAATACAAACGTACCCTCAGCAAATTTAAAGTAGAGAAACTTTAACTGTGTTATTTAGACATACCTGACAGGTCTAAAACTAGGTCTGACTAGGTCTAAAACCACCTATAAAAAGAAAATTGTAATTATTCAAAGCCCACTGGCCGTACTGAAATGTTAACACAAAATCATATAAGGACTTCAGAGAATGGGTTTTCTTCCACTTTATAGTTGAAGTTTTACAAATTAAAAAAAATTCGTTTCACGTCCAATTAAATGATACGAGTACAACGCACAGTGTAGCCATCCCATATACAGTGGCTCAAAAATGAACTCGGACACACATGAGTTTAAACAAAAACATATATATAATAAAATGCGAATCGAGGGCTTTCTGTTTAACATATATTTCTATTCTTCAAGTGTATTTTTCAAAGCAACCAAAATCATAAACTAAATTCAACTCGGTCTTATGAAAATAATATGAACATAACAACTTAACAAAACTCATGACAAAAAAAAACTCGGACATATCCATAACATAGAATTTAAAAATATTATTTAAAGAGAAACAAAATATTCTTAATATTTGGTCGGCAAGCCTTTACTTTTTCTGATAGCATTCAGTCTTCTTGGCAAAGATTCAACTAGTTTCTTGCATGTTAAAGAATTTATTTTCCCCCACTCTTCCAAAATAGCGGCTTCTAGGTATTTTCAGTTTATATTTCAAATGAGTCCATAGAAGTTCAATTACGTTAATGTCGGGAGATTCAGGAGGTGTTTCAAGCACTTTAGGACAGTTATACATCAACCATAGACGGACATCAAGTGCTTTATGCTTGGGATCGTTGTCTTGGTAGTACTGGAAATTGTCTTTAATTCCCAACTTTTCCGCACTTTGCACTAAATTTTCTTTTAAAATGGTCAGATATTGCTTGTGGTCCATATTATCATTTATGAAACACAAATTTCCAGTACCAGCTGCGGACATACAACCTATTACCATTACTGAGCCGCCCCCGTGTTTAACACTTGGACGTAAATTCTTTTCTAGCGGTTTTTTCCAAACATAAGACCTAAATATATTGAATTTGCTTTCATCTGCAAATAAAACTTGTTTCCAGCATTGAAAATCCTTATCTCCATGACATTTTGTAAATTTTATCCTTTTGTTTCGGTTAACCTCGTTCAAAAATGGTTTCTTCCGTGCCTTGCGTGTCTTCCATTATAAATATTTTTTCGTAAGACTATTCGGATACTCTGCGGATTACAATTTATATTGAGATGTTGCAAAACTTCGGTTGAGAGCTTGGGAGCGCTCATGTTTGGATTTTTTTTGATTTGCTGTACTATCCACCGCTCATCTGCAGCCGAAAACAACTTCGGTCGTCCAGACTTCTTTTTGTTTTCCACGGGTTTTGTTTGTTTGAATCGTTTAATCACGTCATGCACAGTCGAGCGTGGTCTGCTCACAATCTCTGCGATTTCCCGAATGGTTTTTTCTATTTCAAAATGACTAATAATTAACTTCCTTACTTCAATTGAACTTTGCCCACGCTGTCTACCCATGTTTGAACTTTTCACATTTTTTTCCCCAAAAAAAACTACTGAAATTTTATTTTAAGCTATTGCATTTGATTATATACATATGCATTTTTAAACGAAAACAAACTAATTGTGGGATTCCCCTTTTTAAAATACCAACCAACTGTAATATTACCAGAAGTCCGACTTCTTTTTTGGCGAAATTTGTAGCTTGTCACATGTTAATTTTTTGAAGTAAGGGTATAGGAGACCCTAAGGCCTTTTCTAAAACTTTCACTTCCATTATGGGCATTTTTGGCCACAGCTGTCCCAGTGTGCATCGCCTCTTGATTATGACTTCCAGTATATTTTTTAGTAGTGAAACGAAAACTAAGATCAGTATTTTTTATTTCTAATAATGCTATTTAAGTAAGTTAGTTGAAAGACGTCGTACTGTAATTATTGTTTATTATAATATATAAGTATGCGTTTGAAAGCTTCAAACATATTTCTTGCCCAAAACCTTTAATTAGACAGCCGAATTTAAGTGAGTTAATTATAATTTTAATTTTTTATGTTCATATTATTTTCATTTAAGTCTCATTACATAATACAAGAATCTAAGTGTTTTAATTGTCTTCCTTTCAAACCCTTCAGAGATTCGGCCCTCCTTGTACCTGAAGATCTCGATAGAGCTTCCTCATCCGAGCATATGGAGCACGTTGCACAAATTGTCGCACACGAATTGGCACATCAATGGTTTGGCAATTTAGTCACGCCGAAATGGTGGGATGATTTATGGCTGAAGGAGGGTTTCGCCAGCTACATGAGTTACTTGGCATTGAATTCGATACGCCCCGAATTCCAACTAATGGACACTTATACCATTAACGAATTCGGTGATGCCATGCAACATGATGCTGATAATAGCTCACACTCCATTACATTCGATGTAAAATCAACAAATGATATTAATCGCATTTTCGATCCCATTACCTACTCGAAGGGTAATATACTGCTACGCATGTTGAGCTCGTTTGTGGGAGATGAAGCATTCCGCGCGGCGATACAAGATCTACTGAAAACGTACGCTTACGCTAATGCCGATCGCGATGAGTTGTGGGAATTTATGACACGTTATGGTCATGAGCACAAGACATTGCCTGATGATTTGCATGTGAAAACAGTTATGGACTCATGGATAACGAAACCGGGTTATCCAGTGATTACAGTAGAACGTCGTGAAGCTGATTTGGTGCTGACACAGGAACGTTATATGTTGCCGTCGAAGAATATGTCCGATGATAGTCGTTGGGTTGTGCCGATTACCTTTGAAACGGATGAGTTGCACAAAGGTGATAATATACCAACACATTGGATGTTGGAGAATGATCGACAGATTGTGATCAATGAAGCGTTTACAGCTGAAAACAATACGGATAATGTAGTTTATGTGAATTTGAATCGTCAGGGTTACTATCGCGTTAATTATGATATGCCCTCTTGGTTGGCGTTAAAGAAAAAATTCACCACTCTGCCACGTATAACACGGGCACAACTTTTGGACGACGCTCTACATCTAGCGCAAGCTGAATATTTAACCTACGATATACCACTCACCTTCCTAATGGAGATCTTCACAGCCACTGATGATGAGCTGCTGTGGCGTTCCGCCCAACCCGGTCTTAATTATCTCATATTCATGTTGCATCGTGAACCGGCATATGAAACGTTTAGGGTGAGTACTAGTGGCAATTATGAATGGATTTGCGTTTGTATAGGGGAAAAATTGTAATTATCTTTTTAACTAGGCATTTATGAAATTCATCGTACGTCCCGCATTCGATCGTTATGGCCTAAACGAACCGGACAATGAGTCGCACATACAATTACAACATCGTGCCAATATCGCACGCCTCGCATGCAAATTCAATTACGATCGTTGCACGATGCCAGCGCACCGGAAGTATCGCGAGTGGATGAGCGATGCCAAGCAGAATCCGTATGTATCCTCGTATGCCATATGCTACTTGATTTTTAACAATATTTTTGCCTACAGCATTAAACCGAATTTGAAATCGATCATTTACTGCACGGCGTTGGCTGAGGGTTCTTTCCAAGAATGGTACTTTGCCTATAAACAATACAAACGCACTACGAGCGCATCCGAGAAGGAGCAAATACTCACTTCATTGGGCTGCACTACCAAGCCATGGTTGCTCTCCAAGTAAGTACTGAATGTGGGGAAATACTCTGTTGTAAATTCTACAGAACTATGTAATGCATGTTGTTGTATTTACTTCTAGATATCTAAATATGACTATTAATCCAACATCGGGCATTTTGAAACAGGATGGTGAACGTGCTTTCCGCGCTGTTGCAGAGAACCCAATTGGCTATGAAATCGCTTTCGACTTCTTGCAGTCGAATATCAAAGAAATCGCAGAATAGTAAGTTAAACAGTCGTATAAAGCACGTGAAAGAACTTTGTCTTAAAAGTAAACTGATAATTAATTTGCTTGACGCTTGTAAGGCCAAGGTACTGGTTCTGGTTCTACCTACATCCGAAACTAAAGGAAATTAAAATCTCTAGTTGCGGTCGTGCCTCGGCAGTTAGTGTGATGCCATTCGAGTATTTTTCTGCCACGAAATAAAAGCTCCTCATAAAAATCCATTGTCCTTTTGCAGGCGGTTCAGAGTATACTGTATGTCCTTCCAAATCGCAGGAGAAGCTCGGCTGAAAAATCACCTCAGTAGTTAGAAAGCGCAAATTATATAATACATAGATATATGTATCTTTTTAACCTGAGCACTGTAACGCAAACTTTGCGAGTGTTCGACCTCCAGCCGCTTGAAACGTCACATCATTACATATCAGCTACAACCTTACTTATTGTAGATGGGCACGCATAGTTGGAAGAAACTATTGCAGCGACTTGCGGTCAGGTCCTCAACCTTAACCTTTCAACCAACTAAATTAAAGTTTGTTAAGGACGATCGCTTTAAGTGGAAAAATATGAGAGAAAAAAAATTGTCGGGTTGACATGGCACTACCCACTTTTTGCCCAAAAAATATTTCTCAGACATTACTGAACAAGTTTGAAAAGAATTGAATACTAATAATTCCCAAGGTCTAGTATGAACGCGATTCGAATATGGCGTATTTTGAGTACTTTCCCCCTCGCGCTTGAGTCACAGACCTGCCTCTCGTACAACAGGCCTTATATATTTTACCAATCTATCGACTTATGATCCAGAAACTTATTTCCTTTTACTTAATGGATTTGATAGTTACAGTGAATTTATCAATAATACTATAATGTGTCCACAAACAAGTCTACCCCCTATATAATTGAACTTTAGTATTTCTGTGAATGTCGAATAAATCGCCTGGTCTTTAATAAATATAAATATCAGTTGAGCATCCAATGTGCGTTTCTCCCCGAAATTACTCTTCCCAAATTGTTTAAATAAAATTTGTACAATAGGAATTATGAAAGGAGTAGGGATCAAGCAACGAGCTCAGCATCGCATGCATGGCTTCTGTAAACACTCAGATACCGATAATGCGGGCTAAAGTCAAAAGTCTTCGCTTCTTTTCCCACAAAACCCACGGTGACCTGAGATGCCTATGAAGAAGTTATAGACCTGCCAGAACTTCACAGCTCCTCATTAGCGGTATACTCTAACAAGCAGTAAGCATCCGAGTGGTAGAATTACTGCTCTAACGCCAGCAATGTAATCTGTTGTTGTGCAAAACTATTTAATTTTTTCAATTTCAATCGAAGTGTTCTTCGAAATTTTTTTCTGACATGAGACGCTATAACTTCGAACGAAACTCGCCAGACGTGCAGAGGCTACCTCGGTGCCGACGCAGAAAATGGAGGCTGAAGAGAGTCGAGAGAAAAGCTGATCGATGCCAGAAAACTAGTTCGAACTGACTTGAGTTGAAATTGTGTCGTATAATTCAGAGGTTTCTCTAAGTCATTCATGATTTTCCTTAAATCTACGGATATCGATTTTTTTTTTTTGTTAATCTTGATTGAATCCTTTCGATCATATAATAAAAATTGATAGCATCAAGATTCATAGGCTTCAATAGTCTTTATCAAAATTAAATTAAGGCCAAAATTCATTCAGTGGATGTAGCAGAGTAGATTTCTTCTCCTAATCCGTGCCCAAAGCTGACCAAAATTGGATGGGAGAAGCAATCTACTCTGCTACATCCAATTTTGGTCAGCTTTGGGCACGGATTGGCTTTCAGCGGGCACTCCTTGTAGCATAAACCCGACCGAAGAATTAGCGATACATTTTTAGGGAAATTCTTTTAACAATCTATGCTATCGTAATGTTAAATGAAGCTATTATTAGTCGCAACTGAATTTGGGAAGGATAGCAGTACATAAAAGCTTTTAACCATAAAAGCAACTATGGATTTAAATAAATTTTTTAGCAATATTTTTCTTTTTTAGTAGAAAACTTAACTAAAATTAATCTTATGATTTGTTAATTTCACAGCTTCGGCGACGGCTTCTCCACGCTCTCCCAGATGATTAAATCGATAACAACATACATGAACAAGGAATACCACAAGGAACAGCTGCAGCAGTTCGCCGATCGTGCACACAAACTAGGACTGACCGCGGTCGAGGAGGCCATCGGCCTGGCCATGGAACAAGTTAATAACAATATTTATTGGCGTGAGCATTCGTACTATCAATTGAAAGGTTTTCTGGAAGCGATAGTTAGCGAATTTCGTATTGAGCCGAATTTAATAATTTAATCATTTTCACAACAACATAAATTACATTTCAAATAATGGATAGAGAGGAAAGAAATAACGAATGGAGGAAAGTGAATGAAAAATGGAGGATGCAAAATTATTTTTGAAAAATACATATGTACATTTTAGAGTCGCGTAGCTAAAAAAAACCGCGAACTACCAGAATTTTATTTGAATAATAAAATTTCTAGGAAAGAATTTGAAAATTTACAACACGAAATTAATTCTACTGCACATATTTCGGTTTCGATTTTTTTTTTAATTAATGCGTTCTTCTGCACTGTAATATAATGTGGTAAACTTTATCTGAAAGTGCTTAGTATTTGTAATAAATAAGTTAAAATTAAGTGTGTGAAGTGCACAGGAACTCTGCAGACATGCATATGTATGTACATTTATTTTGTGAGCCGAAAAACAAATTTACCTTGAAAAATTTGTATGGACTCACATAGAACATGCACCTACACACTTACTTACATATATATAATATATGCATACATATATAAGCAAGCGATGAAAAAATATATTTTGTATAAGTTGTTATTTTGCAAGCAAAGTGATATATTTGTATAAGTGAACGAACTATTTTTGTCTCAGCTAAAGTAACTTTTAACTACCAAATAGGCTTAAAGTGAAAAACGGATTTCATTTGGCGTTGAAGCAACGAGTTTTTTTTTTCAATTCTAAGTTTTTAATTTTTTTTATTGGTTTTGAGATTTTTTTATTATTATTTTTGCCTTGTAAGATCATAATTTTAGTATATATTTTTTTAAAATTATTTATTTGCTCACAAAAACATGTATACTTGATATATTAAATATATATAAACGAATAAGCGCGTCTGTTAGAAATTGCAAATATAAGAATGAAGTAAAAGAAAATAATAAAACAATATAAATAAATGGAAAACAATAAAATAAAATGAATAAAAAATAAATAAACTTAAATAGAATAAAATGAAAATAATACAAAAATAACATAAAATAAAAAAATGAAAAAAATAAAATAAAATAAAATATATATAAAAAAAAATAAAATAAAATAAAATAAAATATATAAAAAAAAATAAAATAAAATAAAATAAAATTAAACTAAAATAAAGCGAAATCAATTATGAAGAGATAAAAATAATCAACTTTTATGAATTAAAATAAAATAGAATTCAAATAAATAATAAAAAATTTATATGAAATAAAATTAAAAAATATAAACAAACCATAAAACATTGAAATGAAGTAAAATAAAATAGATTTAAAAAATAAACTTAAAGATGATAAAATGATAATAATAAAAAAATAAATAAAAATAAAATAAAAGAAATAAAGAAATAAAATAAAAAAATAAAATAAAAATAAAATAATATAAAATAAAATAAAACAAAATAAAATAAAATGAATGATATAACCTAAGTTAAAATGTAATAATATAAATGAAAAAAAAAATAAAGTTGAAGTACTATAAGTTAAGTTAAATTAAATCAAATTAAATAAACTTAATTTAAATTGAATTAAATAAAAAAAATTAAACATAAACTAAATTGAATTAAATATAACAAAACCAAATAAATAAAATAAAATAATATAAAATAAAATAAAGTACAGTAAAAAATATAAAATAAGTTAAAATATAAAAAAAATAATTCAAATTAACTTAAATGATATAAAAAAATTAAACAACATAAAATAATATAAAATAAAATATCGTAAAACGAAATAAAATAAAATGAATAATATAACCTAATTATAAATGCAATGAAACAAATATAAAAAAAATTATTTATATAAAGTTAAATCGAATTAAATCAAACTAAATTAAGTTAAATAAAAAGAATAAAAAAAAAACAAATTAAAAAATAATAAAACCAAATAAATAAAATAAAATTCATAATATGACATCAGTTAAAACGTAATAAAAATAAATGAAATAAAATGGAGTAAAATTAAATTAAATTAAATAATATGAAACAAAATGTAATAAAAGAAATTAAAAAAATGAAGAGAGTAAGATAAAATTAAATAATATTTATATTATTTTAAGCTAAATAAGGAATAATTTAAATGGATGAAAATAGAAAATAGTATTGAAAGAGAAAACTATTAATTGTATACGAATCGATTATTACTGGCGCGCTTTATCTCAAATATTTTATTAAAAAGCCACCACACACACATGTATATATGATATACACGAATTGTTTAAATACTATAAAGTTTCATCATTATTATAATTATTATTAATATTATTATTAATTTTTTAAAATATTAATGCATAATACTTACACAATCATATACACCTATAACATAAATCTACAATAGAGACACGAAATAATTTAAGATTTATATTTAAAAAGAAATGTCAAGAAATCAGATGCCCTTCATATGTAAAATAATTGTATTTGTAATATATTTGTACACTATTTAAATAATTAAAATTATAAATTATTTATATCTTATTTTGTAAACATACTAAAATTTATTGAATTAAATTTAATAAAATTGCAGTGACGTTCCTATGTTGAATATAAAAATATTACAAACGAAAATATGAAAAACTACTACTTGGAAGCAAAAATAAAACAACTATATTACTTAAAATCGATGTAGCCATTAGCACGACTTTTATATTTAATTTCGGAGAATAAATATAATAAATGTGAACTTTTTGAAAAAAAAATAAAAATAAACTATTTTATTAACCTTCTCTTTTTATCAAATGATGAATGTTAGTAGGAATAATAGTTGATAAAAATTGTCTTACATCCATATAATGAAAGAATTTCGTGGGAAAAAATTGTAAACAGAAAACTTTTCAAGAAAGTGTGAAAACAAGCCAAAATTCGCAATCTACTTTATTTAAATGTTTACTTTAACAATTTTTATTTTAACTGAATAACTAACTGAATGCACACACACTGCCTCTTCTCTATATATGTGTGTGTGTGTGCAAGGACTTACAGAATAAGTATATCTATCTATATGTATGTAGCCATTTAAGATAGTCATTAATGTGAATTCAGCCTTAGATCGCAGTGTCCTTATGCTTTGTAGGCGCAAAACATTAACGTCATTATGCCATTGATTATATACATATGTAAGTGCGTACATAAATACACATGTACACAAATTAATCTCTTGTTGTATAAATTTTGAATGACAGCAAGAATAAACTTAAAACCCTTAATGTATATAAATACATACAAACATATATATATTTTAGTAAGGCTAAACTTTCATATATTCACTTACCAATTTGTTCATTTTTTCTTTTCAGTTGAAAAATTAAACAAAAACAAATAGGTATGACAGAAAAAATTGAGAAAAACTTCAACTGCAATTAATATAATTTGTAAATATCAAACACCAAAAATTTATAAGTATTTAATCCTTTTGCACACTTTGTCTATTGGACATAATATCTATGAAAAAAAATTAATATTTAATTAAGAAAAAAACATATGTACATTTGTATGTTTTCGATCAGTAAACAATTGTATTGAAAGAAGGTTATTAAACAAACGCTTGATTATAAAGAGAAGATATCCTGAGTGTAACTGAATAAAAAAAAATAAAAAATTAATTAAAAAAATTAAATCACACTGCACTTTAGTTTATTTAAGGAAGGTTGTGTTGAATGAAAATGCATGAGGAACTGAGTAAATAAGAGTTTGATGGAATCAAAGTGAAACGATTCTAACACACTTGAGGTGACTTGAGCAGATAACTTTAATTCTCAGGCAAATGCAAAGCTCTCTAATCCATGTGATATCGGAAGTCAAAGTTGTCCCTGATTTGAAAAAAAACAAAAGCAACTCAAAATATATTCACGTGACTCCTTTTCGTGACCTAAGGTAGTTAGAGATGGCACATCATCTTGTTACTGAAAATACTAATTGCGGCCCCTTCATAAAGCGATGGTGAAAAAAATTGACTCGGCTATTTCAACAAGAAAGAGAGACATGTAAAGATGATCCCCGCTCGGGCCGCCCAGTGACGGTCCTAAGCGTTCATTTAGTCGAAAAATTAGTACTGGCTAATAGAAAAATAGTAGAAGGATTTATCATTAACACTTGAAAATGAAAAAATTAGTGCCATTGGGTATCGCGAATACTCACGCCGCTCGACAAGCAGCAAAGATTGGAGAGTTGTAAAGGTTTTTTTTATGATTTTGATGAAATTTGCAACCGCATTGCAACAGTTTATGAAACTTGGATTCGTCAGTATGATCCCGAGTCCAAAAAGGTGTCTATGCAGTGGGTGGATAAAAAAAGGAGAAAAGCCGCCAAAAAATTCACAATTTTCTTCGGCAAATAAGCGATATTGCGTCTTTGGGTTTCCGAGAAGCCTCAAGTAGAAGAGGAAATTATACCCGTACAAAACTTACTGTCTAGTGCGCTCTTTGGTACGGAGAAGTTATTGAACCTTCAAAGATGAACAACTAGAAGCATTGCTTGATGAAGATTCGTGCCAAACCCAAGAACAACTTGCCGAATCGTTGGAAGTGAGTCAGCAAGCCTTTTCAAAACGGCTCAAGGCCCTGGTGCATGATTCAAAAAGAAGGAAACTGGGTGCCGTACAAGTTGAAACAGAGGGCATCGAGCGCCGCCTATGTTTATGTGAGCAACTGCTTCAATGACAAAACCGTAAGGGGTTTTTACATCGAATCGTAACCGGTGATAAAAAGTGGGTTCGATACGATAATCCTAAACGAAGAAAATCATGAGGAAAGCCCGGGCATACTTCTTCGTCGAAGGCAAAACCGAATATTCACGGCGCCAAGGTTATGATGTGTATTTGGTGGGATCAGCTCGGTGTGATTTACCACGAGCTCTTAAAACCGGGTGAAACCATCACAGGAGATCGCTACTGGACGCATCTGATGCGCCTTAGTCGCTCGCTAAAAGAAAAGCGGCCACAATATCAAGAGCGACACGACAAAGTCATCCTCCAACACTACAATGCTAGGCCTCACGTCGCAAAAGTGGCCGTATTTCCCAGATGTCGCCCCTTGTGACTTCCACCTATTCCGATCGATGGCACACGAATTGGAAAAATCGATTGCTTCATGGATAGCGTCAAAAGAGGACTCCTTTTTTCGAGCCGGGATCCGAAAATTACCGGAAAGATGGGAGAAAGTTGTCGCTAGCGAAGGACAATACTAATCTGTAAGTACTTTTTCGCAATAAAGCTTTTAATTTTGGAATAAACGGCGGAAGCAAAGTTGTACCCCGATATGTGCCAAAAAGTGGTCGAAAATTACCTCAAATGGAGAAAAATTTGCCAACCTTCCGGCGATCCAAAAAGGCGGTCATTTGAATGACGAAATGTTTCACATTTAAAGCCCAGGATCGAGCTTTACAGCCAAAAAAAAAAAAGCAATTTTATTACAAAAAGTGTTTTAAATGTTTTTCAATGTTTTTTTTTTTATTTTGAAAGCCGCTGAATGTGTAACCCTATATTATTTACCAATTGGTTTTAATCGAGTGTACAAACGATACCCGGCAATCGTCACCCAGGGTTACCGTTACTACATTAGTTTGTTTGATCAATGTAAGTAAAAACAGAGCAACAAAGCAAAGAGATTTTCAAAATATATTGACACTTTTAGTCAATTCTCAAAGAAAAAAATAATAATTTCAGATAAACCCAACATTTCATAGCAATATTGCTACAAATACATGCAGATCACACCATGGAGGGTAGAGAGGCCAAAAGGAAACTCATAGAGAAGTTTGAAATACCCATAAACCATTTGGATTTCGCTTATATTGGCGATTGTGCGGATGCACGCGAAATGGAAAAAATCGTACAAATCTTACGCTCCGGCGAGGAGGGTTACTTTCCCGATCTCACGGCATGTGCAGAGAACAAATTACGCGAGCTGAAGCCCAACAGTCGGCTTTTTCGCTACGAAGAAAAGCTGCAAGGCCGTGAAGCGCTCTCTAGCCACGAATGGAAGCCGATTTTCGTAAGTTAAGAGCAGAATGGAATATTATACATACATATATATCTACATATAGACATCTTTGAACATGACAGGATTGGACGAATAATATAAAAGCGAAGGATAGTGTATTGGCAACGGCTGCTGAGAAGATGGCACAAATCGAACTGGGCGTGCCGCCTGTGCGTAAAAGTGGCACTATTAAGCAAACCGATGAAAAGAAGGAGCCGCAAAATATTGAAGCATCAACTGAAGCAACGAAAACTGCTGAGGAGAGCACAGGCAAGCCCATTAAATCAACAGATTACCGTAAATGGGATAAATACGATGCGGATGAGGAATGTTTACGCATGGAACTGGCTGAGGAACGCGTAAAGGAAGACGTAGAACGTAAGAATCGCCTCAACAAACAAAAATCAAAACTGCAAACACTCAACGAATTTCCCGGAGATGGTCCGCTAAGTGAAGAAATGACGAGCAAACTCACCGAAGTCGAGCGCGAACGTATTGCGGAAGAGTGAGTGATTTAACTGTTACTTAAGCTGTTTGAAAAAAATATATATAAAAACTGTTTTTCAGTTATCGATTGCGCGGCAACGATTATTTTCGAGCTAAAGAATATGAAAATGCCATCAACGAGTACACTCGCTCGATAACTGTGTGTGGGTCTAAAGCAGCGGCCGCCTACAATAATCGTGCCGCGGCAAGTAAGTGTAAAACTTTTATACGATGAAATATGTAAATTCAAACCATCTTGGCAGTGGTAGTAGTCGAGGAACTTCTATTCCTTTCATGTACATGAAATAGTATATTTACATTGGTCCGAAGTGTGTAAGTGTCAGAAGAAAAATGGATAGACCCATCAAAATGTATGCCGATCAAGTCAGAATGACCAAACAGCAAATATTGGCATTGAAAATTACCAAACTCGGCAGACGATATTATATAGCCCCACCCAACCAATTTTGCAGTTATATAAATTGGTATTTAATACTAAAGTGTAACGCCATTATTTTGATATGGTCGTGAAAGGTATAAAGTCTTCAACAAGACCGTAGGACAGTTCTTCCTTCCTTGTTTTGGTATAAGCTCTACGCCCTCATCATAAGAACACCGAAAGCGATAGTCAGTTAGAGTTTTTAACGTTATCTTTTGTGTCTTAGTAGTACAACGACTAGTCAGAACTTTATCAAAAGCCAAAAGGCGCAAAACTCAGCATTCTAAGCCTTTCATGTACTCATAGAGTTGTGGTCCTAATAATATCCCGCCTAGTTTGCATGACTGAGAATTAAATGACTTCAAGAATATATGTATATATATTACCCAATAACCGCTGAAGCGATTTTCAGCCGAGCTCTTCCTCCAATTTGTGGTTTTGCGTCTTGATGTTTTTCCAACACATGGAAGGACCTACAGTTTATACTAAGCAGCCTCCTAACGGCTAATGGTTTTTTATGAGGAGGCTTTATTTCATGTTAGAAATACACTTAGAGGGGTTGAGCTTCCCTACCGAGAGACGACCGCAATTAGAAAAATTAACGTAATTTTTTATTAAAATTAGTTTTCTATAACTTTCCGGATGTTGATCGTACCAGGACTCTGGCTTTCCGAATGGCAATAAGCAATGCTAACCTCGGCTACCGCGGCCGAATAGTTTCCATTATAATTTCTCAAATATTTTCCTACTACTCGATGGGTAGAATAATTTCTGTATAACTCCTGAATTTTGATAACGATTTCAGGTGCTTCTCGTCAAGCATCTTATTTCTTATATTCAATGATCTGCATAGAGTTGGGCATCATTTTAGGATTCTCGTACTAAGGTTATTTTAATAGAGGTGTTTTTTTAAATGAGGCAATGTTTTTTTTTTTGGAGTTGATCTTTTTGACAGCTTTTACTTGATTTATACTCTGTTTCGTTTGCCTCTTATTAATGAACAGACTTACTCGGAAGTAACATTTACAAATCCCCCAGCTGAATTGATAATTCGAGCAAAAGGTCTCGCTCCACGTTCACTCTACTGGCTAGTGCACATCCTCAAAGACATTGTCCAGTACGCACCAAAGACACCACTGCTGGTGTAGACAGAGTATCGAATAAGACCAAAATAAGTCAATTCACTATCGCACTACAATTAGAACTGTTCTCATCCACTTTATGAAAGATTTTAGGAAAGGTTCTTGGTTTGCAGGCTTATAAAATCCAACTCTTGCAAGAATTAAAGTTGAACGCTTATCAAGCGTGTCGCGCTTTCACCCATGGGCCCAAAGCGAGATGATGTGAATCTTTTCTTTCCGATTTTTACAACTTAATGAACTCTTGCAAGAAGATCTCAAAGATTTAGGGAGGCAGCACAAATTATCTGGCATTGCGATAAAGCATGGTAGTTGCCGAAGGGAATCTTCTCTAGCATCTCAGTAAAATTCTGCCTATGCCAGAGCTGTTTATAACTTCTTCACCCTCTAATCTTGAAAACATCTTAGTTTCGATTTTCGTAGATTTCAACCCCTCATGATTAATATAAACAAAGCAAGCGTCACAATTCATCACCCTTTCAGATGTGCACGAAGTTTGTCTAGTAATTTATTCTGTGACATTTTCTATCAAGATGTAATATTATTTAGTATCCTTGATAATTAAGACGTATCCGCTCGGTTTTAGAGCAAAACGTCACCGGGTCCTTTCGTAATCGGTTACATGGTCAGAACTCTTCGGATTGTCGCTACTCTTCAAGAGAGCGATGTGTTGAACATTTCGTAAATATTTCCGATTGAGCGACAGTATGTATTAGCGAGACGTAACCTGGCCGCTAGTGTTCAGCCCATGAACTCTTCAGATTTGCTTTGCTTCTTTGTGTTTCACCCTAAAGTGTATAATTCAAAAATTAGATGCTGTAGTAGTTTAGGCCGTTACAGTTATCTGACTCACAGAGTAAAGATCAAACTCCTTAACAATACATATATGTACAGTCTATACTTCAAACCGCCCACGAGCTTAAGGACCGTTAACTCTGCTTTTATAAGCTCCTCACTGATATTTATCTTCGGAGGCAGGCTCATATGGTTACCCCTTGAAATGAGGACGAACAATTATTTCGGGTATTCTCTATCTCACTTAAATTTAACCTACCCCCATTGCAGTTTTTATGAAAATATGCTCGAATGAGAACGTTAAAGAAAATTAAAGGCCGAGCTTTACAGGAGGAATATTAAGTCAACTCCTATGCAACGCAATAATCGAGTTTTCTATTAAAATGACCGGTTCTTGAAAAAGTCGTATCATCTCTATTTCGGAGTTCTTTTCCTGTCATGTGGTGAGATCAGTTACAAGGGATAAATTGGCAATCGGAAGAGGGAATTTCTGTAAACTGACTTTCGTACTTTTTTCAATGGCAAATTTTCATCTCTTGTAGCTGACCCTGAAATATTCTGGAATTAATATAAACCCATGGGTGGTATGACGAAATTCCGACGCATAAAAGCTCGAAATTCAAAATCCCGTAAGACATATTCGGGACACGACCGAATCCCGACAAATTATAATCCTGGTACAATAAAATCCAGACAAAAAATTTCTACAAAGTATAAAAATATTTAAAAAAAAAATTATACAGCTGAAAAAATTCACGTTGTTATCACTAGAGGGTGTGGATACTGTTATTTCGAGAAATGCCAATTTGATTGCGCCAAACTATAACGAGATAGGTACCACTTACATGAACTTACATGAGAACCAGAGGAAGCTCGATATTTGGGTGTCCCAGAACTGATCACTCAAAAAGGTGTTGTGTTTTATCCTGACAACGCAGGGCCACATAAAATTTTGATGACCAAGCAAAAATTTACAAAACTAGGTTGGAAAGTCTTGATGCAGAAATTATTCTTCTTCTTCATTATAGCCGAGCTAACAACAGCCCCCTGATCTTTCCAACGCGGTGGAGGTCCAACAGAGTGGAAAAATTTATGTTTTAAAAAATACGGTAATTTGAAAGAAAAATTTTACTTAAAATTAAACTTAGCTTTTGCCCTTCCGGTAAAAAGAGATTTACGTTATTTGTCTAATCTGGATATTGAGTTACCTCTGTATTATGTGCTCTGGTCTGTTTTATAACGTCCCCTTTCTGGATTTTTAAAAAGTGCCCGCTTTTGAAAGTTTTGATTATGGAATGCTCTCAAACCCAACTCAGTAATCCAAGTCTGAGTACGCAGAAGCCAATGAATTGCCACACACGCGAGTGCCAATCATTTTTCTGGCTTAAACATAGACTATTTGAATACACCAGCATTTCGGTTCATATCCTTTAGCCTATAATCAGCCCTAACCTATAAATAAAACCTCGAATTACTGCCATATTTTCTAGAAATAAAGCTAAAACGGTATTCCGAAGCTATCAAAGATTGTGAGCAATGCCTCCAAATAGAGCCAGAAAACTTAAAGGCGCGTTTAAGATTAGCAGACGCCACCAATGCCAATGGAGAGAGGCAGGAGGTAAATTCAATAAATTGTTTATCTTTCACAAAACTTACCGGTTTTCATTACCCTTCTTAGTCTTATATTCTTTATATGAAAGTATTAGAACTGGAACCGAATAATGCTGCAGCTTTGAAAGCCATAGAAGATTTGAAGAACACATTGGGTGAGCTACCACCCCTCACTGCAACTCGTCTGCAAATCGTAGAGGATAGTCCAAATAAGATTGGGAAACAAGAAAAGAAGAGAGAGTTCAATGCAAAAACGGTAGAGAAACTAATCGGCGAAAACAATGAAATGAAAAAGTCGGACAAGAAAGAGTCAACAAGCATTGCGGCAACGAACCCACCAAGAACCAACAAACCAAAAGATTATGATTTATCGGACTTGATTAAACCAAATCGTTTAGTCAAAAATAAATTCGTCAACGCCGCAGCGGCATTGAGCAACATGAAGAGCGCAAAAGTTGCCAAGCAGAAGCCGCCAGCAGCCGCAGTTGAAACATCAGCATCGCCAGGAGTTTCCCCAGAGTTAAGGTTGCCGAATGATGATGCTAAAACGGGTGGAAAAATTTTGATCCAAGAGATTTAAAAAGAAAAAATATTTCTACTCACTGCTTAGTTCCGGCGCTTATAAATTTAAATTGAATAAATGTTGATTCAATACTTGTGGGCTTTTATTAATAAAAAATAAAAAAATATAAATTTCATTTACATTTAGTCATTAGATCTTTAGCAGCTGTGCTTGCTAATAGACGCTTACGTTGAGCTTAATATATGCCGTTTTATAAAGCGAGCCACCAGTCTGAAGGGACGCTCTTCGAAGTCCTTCAATTGTGCTTTTGTAGAGTTTACCTAAAATTTTAGAAAAATTTTTTTGTTAATGCAAATATTTTTTTTTTTTTTTTTTTTTTAAAGAATAAAACCCACTTGATCTCCCTCCAAGCGGTTCAAAAGCGTAACACAAACATCGGCCGCGCGTATGCCACAATGTAAAGTCAAAGCGGCAAACATTGGCGCCTCCATTTCGATGTTTCTAATGCCACATTCGTCGTGACAACGTTTAAGAAAATTCAATTTATCCGCTTTTGTGTAAGGCTCGCCATTGGCCTTCATACAGGAAGCACCATCAAGTCGTCCTTGTCCTAGAATAGGGAATAGGGAACGTGAATGTGGCAGTGAAACTACTTGTTGCTTGGAAAGCATTTTTACCTTCATAAAAACAATCGGTACCCATGGTATTGCCTTCGATGACACTAAACGCATTTTCTTCTCCACCATCTGGGCTTGTGGCAGCATCAAGTAAATCCTTACGCAATCTCTCGTCAAAATAAGCTGGTCTTGAAACACGCTCCCCCAAAATTGCCTGGAAATTAAAACAAAGGATAACGGTAAAATGTCTAATCCAAGAAATGTGTTGCGTTCAAGTGAAATTTTTTATGGCCAGAATTATTTCTACTTGCGACATTTTGTATTCCGAGATCTACGATATTTTAAGAAAATTCAGAAAAATCGTTCAGCAACGTAAGGCTTCTCCCTTTCGTTCAGGGTTGAAAGGGAAAGTTTCCTTTCGACAGCAGTTCAAGCCGCTATCAACGACCTTTCTAATTCTATCCGAATAATCTTCAGCGAACAGTATGGCGAATGAGTTGCAAAGAAAGGATTATCCGCTGGATCCAGCCGTGGATAATGGTTTAAGAAAATAAGAACCCTTACAACTTTGCTTCCGCCGATTCCCGATAGGTGGCTGTACCGGCTGAGGCTGGTTGAAATACATAGATGATAATGCCTTTATAGTGAGTGTAGACTGTGCCTAACGAATTGTCATCGCCGTTTCAGTGACAGTTGTTCTTGTTTCCGTATTATTCACGCTCGAAAATGTCCGTTTATGTGCCTAATTCCCGCCATTTGCGGGAAGTTTTACTTTTCTGTTACAATTCGACAAAAATGCAGCTGAAGCGCATCGAATGCTCTCAGAAACTTACGGTGATGCTGCTCTGAGTGAAAGAACGTGTCGGGAGTGGTTTCAACGTTTTAAAACAGGTGATTTGTATATGGTGGGATCAGCTCGGTGTGACTTACTAAGAGCTCTTAAAACCGGGTGAAACCATCACAGGAGATCGCTACCGAACGCAACTGATGCGCCTTAGTCGCACGCTAAAAGAAAAGCGGCCACAATATCAAGAGCGATATGACAACGTCATCCTCCAACACGACAATGCTCGGCCTCACGTCGCAAAAGTGGCCGTATTTCCCAGATGTCGCCCCTTATGACTTCCACCTATTCCGTTCGATGGCACACGGCCTGGCAGATTAACATTTTCAATCCTTCGAAGAATTGGAAAAATGGATTGCTTCATGGGTAGCGTCAAAAGAGGACTCCTTTTATCGAGCCGGGATCCGAAAATTGTCGGAAAGATGGGAGAAAGTTGTCGCTAGCGAAGGACAAGGACAATACTTTGAATAATATATCTGTAAGCACTTTTTCGCAATAAAGCTTTTCATTTTGGAAAAAACGGCCGAAGCAATGTTGTACACCTGATACCTTTCATACCCTCTATATCTTTTACTTGTTAAGATCAAGGTACATTTTTTTAAAGACTCAAAAAAATATGGTATTTATATAGGCAGCCGACAGTACTTGGTTCCTCAGGCAACGTTATTTGTTGATAGACAGCTTAAATCGGCAGTTGTATTATATCTGCTCTTAGTTGATCGGTTGGTTGGTTAGTTGGTTGGTTTAAGGGGCGACATCTAGTTAGAATTTTCAAAAAAACGATTTTTTTTAATTGATTTTCGTAATGATCCGACGGTTATTTTGGAAGTTGCACGCATATCTGTACCGACGCGTCAGAGCATTTGATAGCGGTAAGCCGGTTTGGCGCCTCGGTTTTCTCAAAACAATGTTTTTCAAGTCGGTGATCAAGATTTCTCGGGAACGGTTGAACCGATTAGGCTCAAATTTTTACACGGACTTCTGAACGATGTTTTCTAAAACTAATCTAAGCTTTTCCATTGCCGATGGAAAGTTTTTTTACTGCGCAGTTCTAGACCAAAATAATGGCGAAAAATTGAATTTTTCTTTTTTGAAAAGCCGCCATTTTGTCGAAAAAGTTTTTTTTTTAATCCTTGGATTATTCACAAGATTATACTTTAACTAAATCAGTTTGATTTTCTTCATTACAGATTATTCACTTCAAAAATGCAATGGTCACCGCAAATCGCCTTTTTGGGAAGGGTACCTGGAGATCTGCTGTAGCAGTTTCAAAAACTGTTATTTTTAGAAATAAAAAATTGCTAACTAATCTTCAAAGGTGCCATAATATGTGTACAAATCCTCAAAATAATAAAGCTAAAAGTTTCTTGGTGAAAAATGTTTTTTTTTTAGAACTTCGAACTAAATGTAACCACTTAAATGGGGCGTTGCAGACTTACGTGCGCACATAAGCCGTTGAAAAGACCCTTTGGGCTCCCACTTATCCCAATTATGCGGTTGCATACACTTAGGTCATATTAATAAACTGTAGCTGGAGGCATTGTGAACGATATGACGTCTCAGTCGTATACAGGATGGACATTCACAAAGGAATACTCCAGGCCTTCGTCGTATACTCTGTAGACCCTGTACTCGAGTGATTTAGCTTTAATTAGCTTGTGAAAATGATATATAAGGAGGAAACTCGCCGATAATACACCCAATATAATACTTAATTTTATTTTTCTAAAAACAAATAAGAGTTTGGTTTGTCTAGAATTCCCTTTGCCCTAAATAATTCTAAGTTATCCTATATTGATAGCGCTCCGCGACCTACTGTACCCAATGCTCCACTGAAGGAGGATCTGATGCAGTCGATGGTGACAGCCTGGTCAGCGGCACCAGCGCGAGCCAGCTCGTTCGTCTTTTCATTGTCATCCATTTCCGTGTGACCTCGAAAACAAGGTAATTTCACTTGGTCTTTCCGCGATATTTTACTAATTGTGTCTTTTAATTTGTCACACAGGAGCTGCTAAGTCCCTGCTTGAGAGACAGAGTTGTAGTCATTGGGCTTGAAGCTATCTTTGTTTTTAGGAGTGGTCATATATGAACCCTGCTGCTGCTCCTTCCATGAAAGACATGGATATCATCACTGTTACCGATCGAAGAATTAGACGCCGTATCCTCCACAATTAGAGAACTTATATGTTAATTATCCTAACATCAGAATGGATGCCAGGGCCTTTGTGGCCCATCATTCTTGTGCAATAGCGCTTCGGCAGCTTTACTGGTGCTGATTTCTCCTACTTGAACGGGTTGGTGAATATTATAATCCAAATCTATTAGAGATAATACTAAAAATTAACACCTCAATCTGCCATGCTTATACCGTAACTTGAGAAGTGGTTTTTCTCGGAAGAAGAAGCCAACTTTTCCTAACATTATACCTCGTATGCCAGATTAGGCAACTGAAGTACTTATATGGCGCTTTGTAACCGCTGAGGCGATTTTCGACCGAGCCCCTGCTCCAATTTTTGGTTTTTCCAACAAATAGAGGGATTTACAGCCGCCTCCGAACGTCTGACATTCCCTACCGAGGGACGACTGCAAATAGAAAATTAATTTTGTATTAAAATTAATTTCCTACTACTTTGGATATTGGGACGATTTGAACCCGAGCCTTCCGAGTGTCATTACACAATGCTCGGCTACAGCGGCCGCCAACTAACTCTTACGGGCTCATAAAACAATGATGACAGTCGTGTGATTTTTTGATGAAATTTTGATCTGTTCACAGAAACCTCGGTCTGATTATTTAAAAACAAACCCCGCCTGTAGGACACGGAAATACATAGCTCTCAACAGAAGACTGCACGGCCAAGCTTTCCGTCAAGCTTTCACCCATCCGTAAAGATGTTTAGTGTTCTTTTTTGTCTGAAACTTCACGCCATACAAGATCGCTAGAGCTAAGTTATTGACGACCTGAATCCAATTACAACTTTGTAATATCCATGCTGAGCATTCGAAAGAAACTTCCAGGTCAAATAAACTATTCTGTGCTTACACGTCCCCAACCATCTTTTTTCATAAACTCACACATCTATCCACCGTCCCCCACCTTGTAATTAAGCCTCCTAAAATTAGTTTTGTAATGATGGCAGAAATGATGAGAAGTAGACAAATTTCCCATCAAAGCAAAACTTTTTCAATACACAAATTCAATTACTTACAATCTCATATTCACTGCACAGTAGTCCATTGTAGCCCTTTCTCGAGACAACCACTGTACCGGGTTTAACGCCAAGTCCACCGCTGGTACCAATACGTATAAATAGGGGATCAACACATTTGGCATAACGGACTAGTTTAATTAATTCATGCAACACCACACTCATGGTAGAACTGCCTACTCCATGACTCACACACAGCACAGAGCCAACCTGTTAATTTAGAGAAACGATATGATTTCATAATATCAACAACAAATATGAAATTCTTACTATAAATCCTGCGTATCTGTGACCGTCTTCGAATATATCCTTCTCATATTTACTGCCAGATTTTCCATTATAAACGTTTTCATGTATATATTTGGCCAATTCGCGCATACGCGCATCCTTTCCACCTAAGCACACCACCTGTGAAAATCAATATGTTCCAAAATCGGTTTAAATTTGAATTAAAAAAAAGTCATACGAACCTTAATGTGGCCGAATTGATTTTTAATATCCGTTGGATTTTTTGTATCTGGTATATTAACGGCTAAGTGATATAGAAAATCTGAAGTCATTTGCTCCAAATTGGGATTTTTCGTTGAATATGCGCTATGAAAAAAAAATATATATAAACATAATGCCATAAATGTCTTGAAAAATTAATATATTAAGCTAAGCATTTGAAAACCGCCGAAGCAACATTCAATCAAGCTCCTCCTCCAGGAAGCTCCAGTTTTTTCTTAGCCTTTTATGTCTTGCAAGAAAAACACTTACACTGATAAGACAAGCGCCAAACCTTACAAACGACCCATAAAAAAAGAATCGGCAAACGCCACCCCTTCATCGATTTAAAAACAGCCCTCTACAGCTCGGAAGGAAGCTGTCTCTACACCGATATGTCTGAATTTGGTATCCCCGCAAAAATTAACTGGCATTAAGCAACACCAAAAGCTCCAGAATCGGTAAGTACCGCTCAAAACCGTTCTAGGCAAAAGGAGATTTCATACAAGTCGATTCTATATCGTGAGACATTTTTGATTTATTGCCGGAGAAAATAATACCAGCTGCAAAGCTAAGTAGAGCAGGTACAATTTTCCATAAAGTGAACAGCTCCTGGCGTACGCTACTGATATTGACATCAACAACCGCACCGAGAGTTTTGCTTCCTTCAGCTCGAATAGGAAAGCGAAGTGAATGGTTCTGAAGCTGAAGGGAGAACAAGACGAAATATATCCTGTCATAAAATAAAGAGTCATGGCATTCGCGACTCGGCTCCCACGTCACTTCGCCTGTCTTGGAACCAGGGTTGACACCAACAACAATGTCAGCCTTGAAAACTAGGGCAGAATCACTCTTGCCAACAGATGCTACTTTGAGCTGATTATGAAATCGAAAAGCAAAGTCCTGCCTCGACTTACAAACTCTACAAGTTGCTCATAATTCCCGTCCTTCTGCATGGTCCGGAGGCATAGACGATGCCTACATTTGATTAGTGGAAAGGTTTTGAGAGAAAGATTTTGAGTAAAATGTATGGTCCTTTGTGCATTGGCTACGCCGAAGACCGAAGGCGATGGAATTATGAGCTGTACGAGTTATATCGCGGCATACTGTATGCATATGCACATATATGCTTTGTAGCTGCTGAATCGATTTTCGACCGAACTGCTCCTATGGTTTATGGTGTGTGTCGTGATATTTTAAACTCCAAATGGAGGCACCTACAGTTTCTACTCAGCCGCCTCTAAACAGCTGATGGTTTTTATGAAAAGACCTAATTTCATATCAGAAATACACTCGGAGGGCTTGATATTCCCTGCCGAGGGGCGACCGCAATTAGAAAAATTAACTTAATTTTATTTAAATTAATTTTCTATAATTTTTGAATGTAGCTTGAACCAGGACTCAAGGCCTGATCTTCCGTATGACATTACGCAATTCTAACCGCTCAACTATCGGGGCAGACATTGAAATAGTTCAAGGAATCAAGAGATAGCGGCTACGCTGGCTAGGTCTGTCGACCGCTGGAGAGATCATGTGAAGAAGAACCTGGTGGTACTTGGTTTCACCAGAAAGGGGAAATTAGGAATGAATTGTCAAATATGCTCTATTCGCGTAAGTAAGGGAGAGGAAAAACACCCGGGTCACGTCCGCAAATATCAGTTTTTTAATTCTTGGTCAAATCAGCGCTCGAGCCCATGTAGTCAAGTTAATGAAATAAGGTTTGGAAAAGTTCACACCAAACAATGAATAGAAACCACCACTGATCTGTTCAAATTTTACTTACCCGTTTAATGACATTCTCGGGAAAGTTAATTAGAACCAATTTATCTGAAACAATAAATAAATATATTTTAGTATTAGATTTTTTGGGCAAGCTGTAATCGATCTTAATAATTGGATTATTTGATCTGCCCACTCTATAAGATGGGCACAATATGGGATAATTATGAAAAGATTAGCCTCTTTAATATCAAGTTTAATCCAAGGCTGCATCGTGACGATAAATTTCACTTTAATCCGAAGTTTTATTTCGTTTCGGTTGAGACATTTGGAAAAATAAACGTTAAAGCAAAATGTATTTCTTTTCGTTTATACACGAAACGAAAAGCTGTCGTTTGTATTAAAACGAAAATAGATAATGTTAAACGTTAAAATTGAAGTGTTCCGTTAAAGCAGCAACCATAGCAAGGAGCCATTTTAAAATAAACGTTAACGATGAGTTTGTGTGGTTTCAACATTAACGTCATTTCGTTCTGATAACATGGCGCAGAAACAATACGATTTCATTTTATTGAGTTATTTTTTCTTGTTGCCGAAAGGAAATAATATCGTAGTTGTTGTTGTTGAGCATCTCTGAATGAAACTTATCGTCAATGAAATGATCGAAGATTAACGGTATTGACGACGTATGCTAATGGTATTAAGATCTTCGGCCTCAGACATGTGGACAACAGGAAATATGTCCGGTAATATCCAAATAGTAGACTTTGTCGTCTATGTAGGAACCTAAATCTACAATCCAACAATTCAGTGCATAATCACATTTGATGGTAAAAGCTGCTTTGGAATAAGTAGGGAATTAAGTCTACAAGTGTCGTAGCATGGGTATCGTCTTGCTAAATGGAGCAGAGCCTTACACAAAGAAATATCCGGGTAGTTGTCACTCGAAATTATCGATGAAAATGCCATTGTGGAAAACTTGCAGTCCTTCGTATAATAACTGATTCTTTAAGCGATTTTAGGACGGGCAACTCCTCCCGTCTTTGGTGTTCATTTTAATGTTATTTTGACAAAGAGACCTACAATTATTTCTAAGCCCCTTTTTTCATCTCAGGAATTTCTACGATGGGTTGACATTTCCTGCCGAAAGACAACTGCAATTAGAGAAATTAAAATACTATAGTTTTGAACCTTCTCATGGTAGTACGCACTGCAAACCACTCAGGTATTATTGGTGTAATCGCGCGTAATTGTTAATTTTTTGGCAAAAACTTGAATGAAAAGGGGGACTCATTCCAGATTTCTTGCGGTTGGTTCATTTGCTCATCACGATGCCAGAGTCATCATATTCAAATCAAAGAAGCTTCCCTGTTCACCGTCGAATCAAAACCTATAAACATTTAACAATTTTGCAGAAATGGCTCAACCGCGTTTCTATTATATATGTCTACCGTGAACCGACTGACCAGCCAAATCATTTGCCATAGACAGGAGCATATGGTAATTACTTGGTGCGAAGTCTGTACCATAAGGTGGTTGTAAAAGAACCATCCAACCAAGCCTTTAGAACTTCTGTCGGTTATACAGAAAACACAATCCCCCTCCTGTTGGTCAAAGCCGGGCGCTTCAGAGATATTTCTTCCTACATAGGGACGACTTAAGAGTTTCCGGACCGTCAATTCTGGATTGCAGACTATATCTGTCGGCTCACCACGACCGTTTTCATTTATCGTTGCTGCAAGTGATTCACTTTTCGTCACCAGTCACCATCCGCTTCAAAAATAGATGGAGTTTGGCACAATTTAGCGACTATTCGCAAATGAATATTCGGTCCAGGAAGTTTTGTCTAGTTAACTCATGTGGCACCGATACATCGAGCTGCTTTATATATCCAGGTTTTTTATTGTAAATTAATCACAAAAAAAAAACATGCAAAAAACAAAAGCAAAATGTTGGAAAACTTAAATAATTTGAATGAATTTTTCTTAACATTTTTTACAAAAGTGTGACACAGTAATAGCATTGGAGTGGTTGGAGTGCCATAACTGTTGATATAAAGCAATTAGTAACAACTTTGAAAGCAATGAATTTGAAGAGAGCGAAAACTATCTTCAAATTACAACAGATAAGAATGAGAGATTACAAACACTTGCCAAAATCCCGGAAAGAACGTCATACATAGATGCATATATAACATTACATTTATGAGTATAAATAAAACTACTTAAGTATAAGCTCATAAAATAAATATAGGGTTATACATCTCGTGGCCTCAAAAGTATGGTGCTGTATTTTTGACCTCTGTAAAACTTAACTGTCAAAGCAATAGTGTTTTATTGTAATTCAAATGTGGATTTAAGAGAAGATTTTTGTACACATAATACTCCTAAATACTCAAGGAATCGTCAAAACTACAAAGAAGTTTAAAGAAAGCAACTGGATCGGTTACAGATATTGTAAGGTCTGTGTATCATCGCTTTACTCTCTCCATCTCAAATATCACCACTGTAAGTGAAAGTGTAGCCGTACACCCGAATGTGACTTTTAGTCGACGTTCTCAATAGCTGGAACTTTCGTATGGCACATTAGAGCATATTTCGCACTTGGACTTACACCTACAACTATATAAAGCCCAACTCACACAACAACTGAAGCCAGCTGACCAATCAAAACGACGTACAGATCGATTGGGTCCTTGAACAACAAGCAGTTCGCACACGAGGCACAGTTGGCACTAACGTAAATAGGCAAACAATTGAACAGAGAACTGTCTGGTGCCTTCGTGGACCTGGAGTTATGATTGGACCTTACTTCTTAGAAAACAGCAACGGCGAGCCTGTTACTGTGAATTCGGAGCGTTATGGTCGTATGATAACCGACAAATGAAGAACACGACTTGGACAATATGTGGTTTCAACAAGTTGTTGCCACATGCCACACCACACCAACAACCATGGCTTTACTGCGAGCGAAATTTCTCGGCCGCGTAATCTCTCCAATTGGTTATGATGTCAACTGGCCAATGAGATCGTGCGATCTAACACTTTTGGACTTTTTTTGTGCGACTACGCGAAAAACCGTGTTTATGCCAAATAAACTTCCAACTCTTGAGCACTTAAATAAATAACAATAAAGTTATGGCTGAGATAGAGCCTCATATCTGACAAAAAAATGGTCGAAAATTTTAAATTTAAAAATTCGCGAGGCGAGGCATTTGAGTATATCACTCACATATACATGCATATGTATATAATATCAAGTTTCAAATTTTATAAGAAAACAGAAATTTCATGAAAAAAATTATTTTCAACGAATTTCATTCAATTATTATTCTAAATTTTTATTATTATGACGAAACCGCAAAATGGATACCCCTGTTTGTTGGCTTCTTTTTTCACCATAAGGTTATTGTACTCGATCGGTAAATATTACTATTTATGTATGTACACTTGACCTCTATTTAAGTGGGAGGTGTGTGCTACAAATACATACAAATAAATCACACTTTTGAATTTTCTCGGCTCGAATGTGTGTACATACATACACATGTACAAGTATGTATATATGTGTGCCAATTACACGCTTAATGAAGTTCTAAAACAATCCAAAGGGCATTAAACAGTTTTATTTACTGTCCGTTAAAGAACGGCGAATGTGTATTTCTTACTTTATTTATTTTCATTTATTATTCTTTTAGCGTAAGTTAAATGAGTTTTACATACATATAATAGTTATCACAAAATACTTTGTAGAATTAGTTCTCAAGCCAATCGCGTTAATCAACGGCCTTTTGATAAGAAACTGTGCGTAATTGTATGTACGAGTACATGCACACATACATATATATATATATACATGCATGTGTATTAATTATTAATTTGAATCTATCACCTTTGCTCTTCTGTTGAAATTAACGATTTTAATTACTGAATTTGAAATACACTAATATATATAATATCATATGTACATACATACATACATACGTACAATATAAAACACAAACCGTTGATAATTTCAAATTTTCAAACCTTCTGTTTTCACTTTATAATCGTTTGTTTAATTTATAGTTTGCTTTCCTCGCTCGAATGTTATTGTCGCCCGTATAAAGTATATTATTATTTTATTAAGATAAAGTCCGTACACTGTGAAATCCAATCAAAAACTGAGTGCTTAATAACTATGCAATATGAATGAAGCTCCAAACCGATTTTGTACAAGTGCATATACATATGTATGTAAGTATTTAAAATTCAATATTTGGCGTGGCTTACAGTGGGACAAAATGTTTAGCTTACGTGACTTGTTTTCACAAATTTTTAAAACAATCGCTTTGCGTCTATTGGACGTCGATCTGCCATATAATTATATATATAACATGTGCATAGCTACATATTTATGTTCGAATTAATTAAACGCACATACGAATAAATGATTTAATTTTTCTATTTCCCGATTGATTTGAAGACAATTCGAAATTAAGAATCTTATGTCGCCAGACATTATTCAAGTCCATAATTGAGATCATGATACAAAAAAGGAAGGTAATTTCACTCAATAGAAAAATGGCAGAAGAATTTTTTTTGAGAATATATTTTGTTTTCATTTTAACTTCAAGATATTGGCATTAAAAAAATATTTCAAATATTCTTTTTTTATAAAAAAAAAATGCTAGACTACATACCTTTTACCTAGATTTTAGAAAATATATAATGCAAAGCCTTTGAGATTTTTGTGAGCACGTTTTTTTTTACTTAGAAAATTAAAAATTTATTAAAAAAGAAAAATGTAGTTTATAGCACAAGAACAAAGCAAAAATCAAAAAACCTTTTATGTCAGATGGCTAATATTTCGGAAAAAAATTCCCAGTGAAACTACATTGTTTTTTGTATCATGATGCAGCGAGAAATCGTAATTTTGACATTTCATTACTGGCTAATGCTGCAACTACCCATTTCCATGACAGCCGTCTGCAATAGCCAGATACCTAGACGAGTTATCGACGCTACTGCGAGCGGCGAAATGTTGCCAGCTGCCAGTGTGCTTGCACACTTTTGAACAAATTTATAATTTTCGTCCATGAATGTCATAATTTATATTTTCGAATATAA